TACCCCTATCTTGTGTATCTTCTTACGGAAGGTAGGAATTTCTCCCATGCCTTGTCTGGAGTGGCTGCACGATTTGGTTCGTCTTTTTCCACAAATCGGTGTCTCCCGGCGGGTTTGTTTCCCACGTGGCTATCGCCGCAACTACGATCACCAGGCACATCCACATAAGCTTTCAAGCTTCTTTATTTGGTGTGACTAGTTCGGATCTGTGGGGTAGAGCTGCAAACAGGCCGATGGCGCCCCCCCTGCGTCAAGCTAGGGATACTAGATGTGATTATTGACACCGAATGAGAGACAGCATGTCCCCGAATTACAAGCTGTTTTCAGACCATCTAATCTAAGCAAGGCCGATTGTCCTACCACTGGTGGAAATCGAAACGGTGAAATGATTTCCTTCAGTCAGTGATTGTGAGGCTGAAGATACTGAACGATCCTGACTGTCCCAAGGGGACCACTTCGTGAGTGAGGTTGAAATAAGGAGCCGCCTTGAAACTATAAGTACAGTGATATATCCCATAGCCAACTAAGATCGACAGGCCTCTCCCCAGATCCTCACAGCCAAGACTTCCACGACCTTGTCCTTGGACCATTTGCCAAGATGCAGCAATACTACATCCTTGCCCTCCTCCCGGCAGTCCTGGGCTGCTTGAACGCCGACACCAACTCGTGCGCCAGCTTCATCAAGTCCCAGTCAGCCACCGCCTCTGCCTTCTGCGCCACCTTCACCAAGAGCACCGTCACCGCCACCACTGGCCTTCCCGCCTGGGCTACTAACTGCTCCAACAAGCCGTCCCAGATCTCTGCGGAGTGCACCTGTAACTACAGCGGTGCTGGCGGCAGCTCGCCGACTACCACGCTCAAGACCACCACGACCGCGGGCAGCGGTGGCGCTATCACTACACCCGCTGGTGTGACGACGACATTGCCTGCTTCCAAGGGCGCTACGTCCACCAGCAAGGCCATCACTGTCTCGGCTGGACAGACCTATGACGGTGGGATGAAGAAGTTTGATCGAAGCCGTAAGATTCTTCATCTTTAGCTGCCTAAAAGTCGGAGGATATGCTGATGTTGTCCAGCCCGTGTCTGCCAGGAGCAAACTGAGACCGGCGAGGCCGATGCCATGTTTGTCCTAGAGGCCGGAGCTACGCTCGCAAACGTCATCATTGGACCTGACCAAGCTGAGGGTGTCCACTGCAAGGGAACCTGGTAAGTAATCATCAAATATCGTGAGGCTTGTCCTTTACTAACCATCGACAGCACTCTGTAAGCCATCGGCACCAACGCCCTACACTTTTGACATTTCAACTGACTCAGTCCCAGTACCAACGTTTGGTGGTCCGATGTTTGTGAAGATGCTCTGTGAGTTACTATGTATGCCCGGGAGGACGTCTGTCTTACTGACGTGTCTCAGCACCCTTAAGCAGTCCAGCGGAACCTCCTACGTGATTGGCGGCGGTGCCTTCAAGGCCTCCGACAAGATCGTCCAGTTCAACGGCTTCGGAACTGTCAGCATTTCCAAGTTCTACGCCAACGACTACGGCAAGGTTGTCCGAAGCTGCGGTAACTGTAGTGGAAACGGCGGTGCCCGCCACATCATCATTGACAACACGATTGCTGTCGATGGCGGCGTGCTCTGCGGAATCAACACCAACTACGGCGACACTTGCGTTGTGACCAACTCATGCCAGGACGACAACAAGATCTGCGACAGATACACGGGCAACAACTCTGGCGCTGAGCCTCCCAAGATTGGCTCGGGCCCTGACGGCACCTACTGCAAGGCTTCCGGCACTACTACCGCCTGCTAAGGGTATGGCTGGGAAATCGTAGTTTGGTACGAGGGGAGGATCAAGAGGCGTCTTAAGCGCAATAAGGGGTGACTTCCGTTCTCACTGATTATGCTTCACTGCAAATATTTGCACTTTGTACATAACCTTGAAATACCGATATGATTCACAACTACTCAGTTTTCGACCTGGTGAAACCAAGTATCAATCATGTCTTGGGTGATCCGGAGCGACACGTCCAATAGACCAGCGCCGATTGGCCTTACAAACGTGATCGACTTCCCTTCAAATACTTCTCGGCCTATTTGGAGTCAGTATCGAACATGAATACCAGTTCAAACATGGTGAGCTCGATCTTACCTCGGCAATCGCATCTGTTCCCTGGGCCCATTTCAAAAATGGGCCTGAGCTGAACTCAGCATTCATGTTGGGTTTGATGTTTTTGAGAGACTTGACCTGCCACTCCCCGGACCTAGGATTTAGCTTCTTTGATCGACTTGTGAACAGGTTTGTGTTGTGTCTCGCCCAAGCCTTGATACGTTCACATCTGGCTTTCCGTATCTCTTGCCAGACGGACGTGATCGTCTTGACGTTTGCGCTAGGATCAGATACTTGAGAAATGAGATATTCCAGCGCACCAATGTCTTCGACAATGAGAGAGAAGCCTTGGGCCGCGCTTGGTTGCATAGCATGCTGGAAGAGATTCAGCGTTCATGAGGCCACGGGAAATTTGTTGACGGATACTTACTGCAGAGTCACCCAACAACAAAATCCTTCCATCTGTGCTAGTCCATCGAGGCAGGTCGGGGAGCTCAGCGAGCCTCCATCTGTCGCAAGACTTGGCTACATCGAGTGCAGTCCGAATTTCGGGACATGCTCCCTTGAACATGTCTCGAACGTATTCGATATCCCCCTTTTCATCCCACAATCCTCTCTGATCAGTGCTGCCTTTGACCCCAAACAATGCAGCATATGAACCAGACGTGGTGTTGTATCTGCTCGTGACATGGACCAGGCCACCATCACTCATGTAGATGTTGAGGTACGACTGGTCCATCAACGGCGCCAGGCCCGGATGATTTTCCATCTCTTCCTTTGTGAGACTTACGCCGTAGAGTGTCACGTCGGTGATAATAGGATCGATCGGTTGGCCGGTCTCGCGAAGAATTTGATCGCGGATAACTGATCTGATCCCATCCGCAGCCAACACCAAGTCTGCTTCCAGGCTCTTCCCGTTGCCAAGGGTAACGTAGCCTGCATGAGCGTCGTCTTCGACCTTCATGACTGGTGCGTTGAATTCAATGTCAGCACCAGCGTCTTTCGCCTTTTGGTAGAATATTTCGATGAGCACACTTCGACTTGTGCCCCAGTCTGGGTAATCGGAAATGTCCGTCGCGATGGCTCGAGTCGCCACCTCCCCGGTTGTCAGATTGCGGAACACATTGGCTGGTGTATCGGCTGAAACTCTTCTCAAGTCCGGGCCAAGACCCCAACTATGGAGGATCTTGGAGGCTCCTGGTCGTATGTTAAGAGCACCGCCTGCGGGACTGAGATCAGGTCGCTGTTCGAGGACTCGGACGTGGTGACCTTTCCGCGCAAACCCAAAGGCAGCACACAAGCCACCCAGGCCGGCTCCGACGATGATGATTTTCATGGCGACCTAGGGAGGAAAGATCGGGTATAAGAGCAGCACCCTCTTCACGCGCTTTGGGGTTCTCTTCGGTTCAGATGAGATCTTCTCAGAAACGTGAAGTCCGACTTGTGCTGACGACGCAGGGGCCTCTGAAGCGACATGCTTAATGTCAGCGGAGGTCGCGGGGAAGGACTAGCGCCAAGAATAGTGCCGACTATGTCAAACAAGGTTACAACTTGCCGGTTTTACCACGGGTACAACGCCTGTCGCGTACCCTTGTCTACCATGCTCAAATTGGAAGTTCGTGAGAGATGAAGTCGCCAGAGTTGATGCGTCTGCTTTGACCAGCATGCTTACTTATTACTCTCGCAGGATTGCACGGCAGCTTTTGTATTGCGTTGATGGGCTCTGAATCTCGTGGCGGCACAATCAAGGGCTTAGAGACGTCTGCCATTTTATCTCTTGTCGTAGGGGATAGTGAACGAAAGCTTGCGGTCTTTCGTCAGAAAAGCTTTATCAAGCGTCATCTGCAAGAATGTCTCACATCCGCCGACTGGACACGGGGCCGGCACGGCGGCCGTGGTGGGTCTGACTTGCCGATCGGCCGGCACTCTCGGTCTCGGGAAATGGTCTTATTCTATCACCCCAACAAATCCGCAGTAGGCTTGGAATATCCAGAAAATTCAAGTCGAGTATACTAAGTAAGCCGTGGGATTTACAAGGCATGGTTAGCCAAGTTCACTGCTGAGCTAGACGTCACCTAAGCCGTTCTAGGCTCGATAGATGACTGGGTCTTACGGGGACTACTTCTTTCTCAGAATGAAAACCCGTGTGATTAACTTTTGACTGAACCCACAGCTTCCCAACGCCATGTGCTCCCTGTGCTCCCTACCTTGACAAATTGTTGGATTATCGGAGTAATCGGAGTGAACCGGACACTAACCGTGACGCGACTGATAACCACGACAGCAAGGTCCACCGCTCTTTGATCCACTATGACAAAGCCGGTGCCGGCGGCTTTGTGTTTCTCCCGCCCAAAAACGTAAGCCGACGCTTTTCATTGCGGTTTCATCGGTTTTCAGGCCACACCTTTTCTTCCTCCCAAAGCCGACATCGAATTACACTGCAAGAAAAACCACCATTCGGGAAATGCGTTCCAGCCTATCTTGCGAATTTTGCCGGTAAGTCCGCGTCGCCGCTCGGAGAGCCGTTTTCTCCTTTCCCCCTTCCATGTCGCTTATCGGAATGTGGTACCATCAATCGGAGGCTAACGTCGCATTCTGCAAAGGCGGTCCAAGATCAAATGCGTCAACGTCGGAAGTCCGCCGTGTCGCAAGTGTGAGAAGTCGGGGCGGACCGACTGCCAATTGACCCGGCCGCAGGTTAATGCCACCGGTCGCGCCTCCAAGCGGGCCCGGAGAGACACGGGCGAAGCTTTTGATGCGTCCCTTCGGAGTTCGGTCGAGCAGGATGGCGAGTCCCAGCAGGTTCATCTGTCGGCGCCTCAATCTAGGGGGCCGGCGACGCCCAGTCAGGGGTCGGTTGGCCCGGAGTATCATCATGGACATAGGAGGGACGAAATGGACCGACACTTGCAGAGTATACCGAAAGACCTAGTGTTTACTGCACTCGAAGCGTTCTGGCGTAAATTTCCTGAGCTGAGGGTCATTCACCCGTCGTCATTCATGCAAGACTATGGGTCAAATTGTTCAAGGGAGAGCAAGGCACTGCTCGCGACAGTACTCGCGATGACCAAGACGCAGAACCCAGACTCTGACCGACTGCGGACGCAGATATTGTATCCTAGTGAACGGTATGCCGTGTACGCCTCTGAAATCCTTGCGGCCTGCATACTGCAATCGCCAGACGTCAAGGTTATACAGGCCTTGCTCATACTGACACTCTTTGAATGGGGTACCCGGGACTTTCACAAGGCTTGGATGCATTGCGGTAGGTCATGTTCTAATGATTGGAAGGGACAGCTATCTGATACGATGCAGGAATTGCGATCCGCATGATGCAATTGCTACACAGCTCTCGTGTCGCGCCCTTTCCGCTCGAAATCCCGCATCGCACCGAACCCAATGACTTGACAATGGCTATTGAGACCCGGACATTCTGGGCGTGTTTTGTCATGGATTGTATGGTTAGCTCTGGGACCTACAATCCGCGCGTGCTACCCAAGCAGGAAATGGCCAAGCTCAACGTCCCTCGACCCCCAACATCCACCGAGTTCGCGCTTGGTTCCGGCTCGGTAGTCCAATCGGAGGACAACGACAGCATCCTGACACCAGGAGGTAGCAAGACGTCCGTGTACCTTGATCTCGATAACAGCTTCGGGGTGATGGCTGATGGGTTCGACATCTACTCTGACTGCATGGCCTTTGTCTTCAACGATGGACGAAGAGCACCAGGCATGTGCCTGCCGGAGAACTGTCCGTGGGTGCCTACGTCGCCTGTCGCGAGTTGGAGACGACGGTTATCAGAGTGGAGGGCGAAACAGCATCATCGACTACATTACCCTGAGAACAGTGTCGTTGCTCATGCCACATTGGGATACGGCGAGTCCTTCGTATACCTGAATCTACTCTATTACCAAAGGTAAATATCATTCTCGTACATTCGAACAGTTGCTAACCCTCCAACTCTCAGCATAATGATGTTACATAGGGAATACTTTCCCTTTCTTCCAGCACTCGAAGATCCGCCCAAAGGTCCTATCGACCCGCCTCTATTGGAGGACGAAGCGCCTCCCGGCTACTGGGACGAAAGCGCCCGCGAGTTCTTTGGCGCCGCGCAGCATCTAGGCAGCATTCTCCAAGAAGCCTCAGACTGCGGAGTTGCAGTGATGACACCATTTGCTGGATTTTGCGCATTCTCTTCGTGCTTTGTCAACCTCTATGGTTTCACCTTCCCGCGCATCACCCTGGGCTACGCACCAAGGGCCGAGGAGCTGATGAACACCGGGATTGAATATTTGAAAAGCTTCAGTGAAGTCTGGGATCTGGGCGACGGCTGGGTATGTATCGGTCTTGGTGATTCCAAGGGAGACCCGAATACTAACGCGCCTCAGCTCAAAACAATTCAAAGCGGATCATTGATGTACAAAAGGGTGATATCTAATAACCACAGATACCGTGGTCTGTCGCGATTCAACTTCAACGTCCTCCATCAATCCGTACACGAGTTTAGAGTCGTGGATAGATCGGCGCAGCACCTGGAAGAGATCAACAACGCCGAGAGGAACTCGATGGGCACAGCAGAAGGCGATAACTCGAGCGACAAAGAACAGCAAAACCCTCCTGCGTTCAGCGCTCAGGCATTGATAGACCCGGACGGAAACATTGATGATCAGGGATTGTGGCCGAATTGGTGGTCCATGCTGGAGGAAGTGAATGCTGCTGAGATATTCACGCTGACTTAGGATGAAGTCAAGTCTAATAATATGAAGAAAGAAATATTATTTTAATCGCTATAAAGTATAATCATGGGTCGCGGGACCCTCAATCCATCTTTTCATCACCAAGTCGTCTCCGCCTCAATCTCCTCAACAGCCTCCCGGAAGACGCTGCAGATTTTCCTCAGCTGCTCTTCCGTCGTCGTGAACGGTGGCGCCAGCAAGACATGGTCTCCCCTCTTTCCATCAACAGTTCCTGCGCCAGGATACAGCGCAACGCCCTTCTCGAACGCCCTCTCTTGAATGCGCAGCCCGAAGCGCTGCTTAAGGTCGAAGGTCTCCTTCGTCTCCTGATCCTTGACGAACTCAACCGCCCAAAACAGACCGCGCCCGCGAATGTTGCCGACAGACTTGCAGTCCTTGAGCTCGGTACGCAGCAAATTCTCCAGAAGCTTGCCCATCTGAGCACACCTGTCAACAAGATTCTCCCTCTTCAGGATCTTCTGCACTGCCAATGCAGCGGCGCACGCAATCGGGTGAGCCTGGTATGTATGTCCATGGTTGAAAGCCTGAGAGCCCTGGCGCAGCGCCGTCACAACCTTCTCGTGCATGAGCACGCCGGCGATGGGGCCGTAGCCTCCTCCGAGACCCTTGGCGATGGTGGTGATATCCGGAACGACGCCCTCCTGCTCGAAGGCGAAGAAGGTACCTGTCCTGCCGGTGCCGCACATGACTTCGTCGAGAATCAGCAGAGCGCCGTGCTTGTCGCAAATATCTCGGACGCCCTTGAGGTATCCCGCTGGAGGTGCCACGCATCCTGCCGTAGCACCGACCATCGTCTCGGCAACGAAACCAATGACGTTTTCTGGTCCAACCCGTTGAAACTCGGCCTCGATCTCTGCGAGAAGGCGGGCAGTGAAGTCCGCCTCCGTCTCGTCTTCTCTCTGGTACTGGTAGGCGTAGGCAGGTGAGACGTACGACACGTGAGGGTAGCAGAAGCCTTGGTACGGGACCTTTCGCGCCCCGACCGTTGAAATCGACATCGACGCCATGGTGTTGCCGTGGTACGCCTGTCGTCTCGCAATGAAGTGCAGTCTCTCAGGTTGACCCTTTTCAAAGTGGTACTGGCGCGCGAGTTTCAGCGCAGACTCAACCGCCTCGCTTCCGCTGCCGACGAAGAAGGCCTTTTCGAGGCCGTGGGGGTTTCCTTCGAGGATCAGGTTCGCCAGCTCTTCGGCCGGTTGTGTGGTGTACGCTTGCGTGTGGACGTAGCTGACTTTCCGCGCTTGGTCGGCGATGGCTTGGATGACTTCTTCGTTTCCGTGGCCGATCAAGGCGACGGCGGCACCGCCGCAAGCATCGATGACCGACTTTCCGTTGGCGAGGTTCAAGTAGACACCGCTTGCCGACTCGACCATGGAAGGATGTTGGACGAGGGAGCGATGCATGAGTCTGCCCTCAGTGGACTTGGACTTGATGCTGAGTGGCTCTTGGCCGCCATTGGCTGGCGTTGTGAACAGCTCGTCGTTTCGTGCGGGAGCCATGATTGGATTGGTCAAAATGCTGAAGTTGCAACCAGGTTGTCTGAAAGTCTTTACGATGAGAACACAAGACTCAAGACGAGGCCAACCCGCTTTATAGATCGTGAGATGAGAAGTAATAATGAGTCAAAAATGTGCTCCACGCCTTGCGAAAGCCGATGCAGCGGAACCGACTAGATGGATCTTCAACCCGGGCGCGGCGTGGACCCGGGCGACCACCCGGAGAACCCGTCAGAATGTTCGGCGTAAATGCACAAAAGTCCCATAAATCTACGACTCGTACGAGTAGGCATAGTTGACGTGGGTTGAGATCCCGGAGCGAAGAAAAAAATCGCGTGTCGGTTCTGCAACCATTCCCGAGATCCGAAAGCCGACTTACAACATACGATGCCTGCAAACCCCTTATCAGTTGCAGCAGATCCTGTGAAAAAGGTCTATCTCTATGGGAACAATGCCTTGCTTTCAACCTTTCAAGTTTCTCTGAAGGCACGTTATTCAAGATGGATGTCGAAAAGAGGACCGAAGCCTTCGTTTCCCGCAATGGTGCGGCCGTCACCGGACAAGATGGCGACGAGACAGACAACTCCAGCACTATCCCGCCGCCCATGACAACTCCGTACCCCGAGCCGACGTTCGATGACCGAAAGGCATGGATCACCGTCGTCGCGTCTTCGTTGACGATGTTTGTTTACCTGGGAAACGTCTACTCCTGGGGCATCATGCAAGTCAGACTAGTCGAGACCACGTCGTCAAGTCTGACAACCTTGACGTTTGTTGGTTCCCTCGCGACATCGTTCATGATCTGCTTCAGCATCTTATCCGACAAGATCGTATGTAGGATAGGATACAGATTATCGGCGTTGATCGGAGGGTTCTTCATGGGTCTTGGAGAGGTTCTTGCGAGTTTCCTGACACACCATGTTATCGCTCTCTTCTTCCTACACGGGCTCGTCTTTGGTCTCGGAGGTGGATTGTGTATCTTTGTAAGCTTGTAATCCCGCGATGGTGTTTGGTTCAATGATGTGTGCTAACCTCACTGGTTGTGCTTCAGTCTGTTTCCACCGCACCGATGAGCCTATTCAAGAAGCACAAGGCACTGGCAATGGGCTTCGTGTTCGGTGGAGGAAGCCTCGGATCCGCAATCATGAGCGTCGTCACCAACTATCTGGTCAAGGATCTGGATGTCGCATGGACCTTCCGCATCCTCGGCTTCATCCTGTGGGGAGTGTCGATGCCAGCCTCCTACTTCCTCCCATCGAGAAAGAGACTGGGCAACAAGAGTTCGCGCCAACTACAGTGGTATGTATTGACCTTGTTGGTAGTGAAAGTCTTCCTTTCATATCTCTGACCATCTCAGGTATCGCTTCAAACAACCCCGTTTTCTCTTGCTCGTCGGCGGCACAGTCCTCGCTTGCTTCCCTCTTTTCATCCCGCCTTACTTCATCCCCATCTTCTCTCGATCGATGGGATACTCCAAGGAGATTGGAGTCATCATCCTTGCTGCTTGGAACCTGGCGTCTACTCTCGGTCGTGTCGTCGCTGGCTGGGTGGCTGACTCAGTGCTGGGCCCCGTTGAGAGCCTCGCAATCTGCATGCTCTTCATGGCCCTCAGCTCGCTGGTTGTCTGGCCCTTGTCATCATCTATCGGCATCTTTTCCATCTACCTTATCTTTAACGGCATTGGCTGCGGCGCATTCTTCAGCCTGACTCCCATTGCGGTCAGTTCTACCTTCGGTGGAGAGAACACGCTGAGCATCATCCCAGTCGTATGGACGACTTGGTTCTGTGGATTCTTCTTTGTGAGTTTGTTCGTGTTCCTCCACGTAATGATTTACTTACATCTTTCAGGGTACCCCTATTGCATCCGGTCTCTACTCATTGTCTGGTCGCTCAGACGGCCTCGAGGCGTTTCGTCCAGCCGCGTACTACGCCGGAGCAATGGCACTGGCTGGGTTTGCCTGCGTTCTGGGAATTCGGTTCACTCGGTCTAGACCGGCCCCCGAAGAAAAGGTATGAGGCCATTTGGGGCTGGAGATGAGCGCTTATGGAAAGAGGAAAGCGCCCGTAGCTAACCTATTATCGGACGGGTTATCATGAATAATGAAGATAGTTAGAATGACACGCAATAGGTAGACGTTAGAATGATTAGACTTAGCTTTGGGGTAGATTGAGTTTAGCCGTTCATGCTGGCCAACTATAACTACACCAAAATATTAAAAGAACATGATAGGTACATCACCTGAGTAGAAAATTACAAACTGTCCTCAACCGATAAAATATCATACCAACTCACCTTTCCCTTGTATGTTCTCTTTCTGAAATGTTGCCCAGTCCAGTATGACTTTGCAGGCGGCCGTTTCCCCTACTTTCCAAATGAGCAATACCCGAGGTCAGTTTCACCCATGCGACGCCACAAATTGTGTTGACGATCAGTATACCTAAAGCACAAAACCATTGTTCGGGTATGAGCTTACTTATTGGCGGGACTTTGCGTGATGTCTGGCCACCATGACAGTGCGGGGAAGTCCCGGCACCCAACTGGTGGGTTTTGATATGTTTCCTCCTGCTGATGCGACGTCACACAGCGATACATTTAATTCGATACTCCAGAACGCCCAAACTCCTCCTGAAATCTAGGCAAGGCTTGGCATCTGCTTTTGGAAAATCCACAGAAGATCGGAAGTCCGTGTTGAAAATGCTCAAGAGTGAACAGACAAACATTTTGAACATAGAAGCGGCCTCAGCTTTCGTCTAAAGCTTGCAGGCAAGAAAATTAGGCTAAATACAACCACAAGATGATCATTCATGTAAATGACAAGCTTCTGGTGACGGCATGCCGGCGACAAGCTCTTCCGTATAGCGTCCTGCAAGGTCCGAAGTCCGACGTATTCTGAATATTTAGGAATCCGGTAGCTCACATTGATCGGAGCTCAGTGGTCTAATCATCCATTCCGCTAGGTTGTCAGCAATTCAGATCAACATTGAAGCCATCATGAGACTGTCCACTCCACTCCTAGTCGTCTTTCAAGTTGCTACTGCAGCCTCCAGCGCTGTCTATGAGAGACAGACTGGCTGCACTGCTTCCGCTCCAGGCTTTGCGTCTCTCAACGGCGGCACAACCGGCGGTGCTGGTGGGACAACCGTGACCGTCACCACTCAAGCTGACCTTGAGAAGTACGCCAGTGCATCTGGCAAGTACGTGATCAAAGTCAGTGGCCGTATCACAGTCACACCATATGGAAAGGAGATCAAGGTCTCCAGCGACAAGACCGTCATTGGTGTCGGTACCTCTGGTGAGCTCTACCAGGGCGGCCTGGGTCTGAACAGCGCGAAGAACGTCATCATCAGAAACCTTAAGATTGGCAACACCAACCTAGGCGATGGCGTCGAGAACGACCGCGATGGCGTCCAGGCCGACACTGTGAGCAACATCTGGATCGACCACTGCCTCTTCGAGAACGGCGGCGACGGCTTGATGGACCTCCGCAAAGACACCACCTACTTCACCGTTTCCAACAACATCTTCCGCAACCACGACAAGACCTTCGGAATCGGCTGGACGGACAACGTCACTGCCCGTGGCACTATCAACCATAACTGGTTCGACAGCACCAACCAGCGAAACCCGAGCGCCGACAACCTCGCTCAAGTTCATCTATACAATAATTACCTGTACGGCGTCACTTCCTACGGCCACTACGCCCGCGGCAGCAGCAATGCAAAGGTGGAGAACGTCTTTTTCGAGAACACCAAGAACCCCTTGACCAAGGACTCCGGGGCTGTGCTCAACGCTTCTGGAAACACTTACAAGAGCTGCACCGGTACTATTGCTTCTAACTCTGGAACGGGATTCACTCCTGGCTACTCTTACACGCTCACTGCTACTGCTGATGTTCCTGCCTATGTGAAGGCCAATGCGGGTCCGAAGGCTTCCGTGTGCACTTGAGGAAGATGCATGTCAAGGCTACTAGTTTGTTCCTGGGCATGATCTATGATGGCAGGGACTCGTGCGCCGGCTTGGATGTCAAGCAAGAAAGGGACTAGGATCGTTTGAAATGCAACGCTCATTTCGTTTCGTCAAGCTCAATAATTGACCTGCTTTCTTGAAACCCCAACCTTTAAATCCGCTGCTTCGCGAAGGTATCATCATATTTCTCTGCTGAGCTAGCCTTTTTACGACTTTCTTCTAAAGCCGTGGCATACATTGATTTTCGGTGATAGTCTCCTGCCACCTCACCACAATATGCATAACAGAGTCACTAGCACTCCACTGGGATGCTGAAGCATTTCTGCTTCAGGCCAAAAGAATTCCTCGGCTCGCTTCTCGTGTGCGCCCCCTTGCTTTCATTGCAAGCGCAGGGACGGAGATCGCACAAGGGAAACTCGGTCAAATGGAGTCTCTGTATAACCCCAGAGCTCAAAATGGCAATTGAGTCGCAGGTTAGATTGGCGTTTGTCACGCAGCCCCTCTGAATACCTCACATGGTCACTTACGAAGCTGTGCCCCGCAATTGCGACGTCGATTTTAAGTTAAGCAAGACACGAGTAGCTCCTAGATGTATTTTGTGGACGGGATAAATGCCTCAGAGTCCGACTTAGGGTGTCCTACGATGGTGGCGGGGAGTTGGAATATCCGGGCAGGGGGGATAGCGGCATATGACGGAGAATTTCAGTCCACCTGTTTGCTTCCCTCCGAACCCCGCATCATATTGATTGGGGTGTCATACCTTTTGAAAAAGAAAACCGTCGTTCCAGCCGTACCTGTTCATTATTACCGGGAAGTCTAGTGTTTGAAGAGGTGCAGCCAAGATTCCAGCAATCTAGATGTACTCCTGCAATCAAGCCTCTGTCATGGCGGTGTGGCAAGGCGCTGGTTGCGACTTAAAAGAGGGCATCGCGACGGGTCCTCAAAGCGTTCCTTGGAACTCTTACCGCGATCCCATATCACATCTATCATTCAAGTAACATGATGAAGTTCCTTGGCATTCTTTCTTCTTTGGTGGTGCTTGCTGACAACGTGCTCGCCGCCTCCCGCACGTCACCACCTTCAGGTTCAATCGTTGTTGCCAAGTCTGGTGGCCAGTACACCTCTGTGAGCATCAAACATTCACATTATTTGGACATATTTGGCATCTCTTAGAACCTGGTTTCTGACTTGAATTTACTCCAGCTCCAAGCTGCCATCAACTCCATCTCAACTAGCTCGACTGCCACAAGCACCATCTTCATCCAGCCCGGCACTTACTCTGGTCAAGTTTCCATCCCCAGCTTGAAGGGAAAACTCGTAGTCTACGCCTATACCACCAATGATCAGGATTACACCAAGAACCAGGTCATTTTGACCAACACCTTGTCTGCTGCGGACGCTGGAAGCAACGATCTTTCAGCCACGCTTCGCGTCGCGACCAACTACTTCAGCCTCTACAACGTCAACGTCATCAACGGCTACGGAAAGGGCTCTCAAGCCCTGGCCATCTCCGCCAACGGCCAGTACCAGGGTTACTACGGCTGCAGCTTCGTCGGCTACCAGGACACCGTCTACACCAACAAGCCTCACCAGGTCTACAAGAACAGCTACATCGAGGGTGCTACTGACTTCATCTTCGGTAACGACGGCAATGCATGGTTCGAGAAGTGCACTATCGCGATTAACGGAGCCGGCTATATCACCGCCAGCGGCCGCGACAGCGCTGATTCCTACTGGTACGTAATCAACAAGGCCACGATTGCCGCCAAGTCTGGCGCAGGTGTCTCCAAGGAGTCGACCGTGCTCGGTCGCCCGTGGAGGGAGTATGCTCGCGTCGTCGTCCAGAACTCGCAACTCAGCGACGTCGTGAAGCCGGTCGGATGGTCTGCTTGGGGCACGAACCCGACCGCGAATGTCTACTACGCCGAATATGGTAACACTGGAACTGGGGCTAGCGGAACTCGGGTCAGTTGGGCAAAGAAGCTTTCCAGCGCCGTCACCATCGATTCGGTTCTTCCCGGATATACATCTTGGGTTGACATGACATACTGGAACTCGTCTTAATTTGCATATGCGTGCAAATGCTTCGCACTTTCAGTGAGACGTCCTATGACTCGGCCGGCGGGACGATACGAATTGTTGACTAGCCAATGTAATAGCACTGAGGGATTCATAAGCTGCACTAATCCTGCAGTGAGAGCCCCGGTGCGTCATAGTTGACATCCAATCGGTAGACGCTGGACAGAAACGACCATCAATCTCCACTAGCGTGCATAAATGTGCCCTCATTCTGCAGATTTCAGTCTAGCTCATGTGTTTCTTAAGCCACCGACCCCTCTTGTTGCCTCACGAATATTTCAGGTCTCTCATTCCGAAGCGTCCTTACAGGATACGGAAACCATGTCGACATCACAAGTCCTTTACCCACCGCTCGACCGAGAGACCCGGTCAACGCGCCTCCTCAAATTCCTTCCGAAAAGGGAGGAGGGGACAATCAGCTGCACTTTGACAAACCACACGTTCAACGACCCTCCCCCTTTCATCGGATTGTCCTATGTCTGGGGTGCTCCGGAACCAACATATGCGATCGCCGTCAACAGTGAAACATTGTATGTGCGTGAGGGTCTCTGGCACGCCCTTCAACAGCTTTATATGATTGCTTTCAATAAGGAAAACAGCATATCCAGCCAAAGAAACACCAAAAGCCGATGTCCGGAATACTTTTGGATTGACGCCATTTGCATCAACCAAGATGACGTGTTCGAACGTGGTTATCAGGTCGATCTTATGAAAGACATATTTTCTACAGCTACCTTCGTCATCTCTTGGGTTGGAGAGGCGGAAGGGAACGTTGCAGATTTACTCCAATATCTCCGAAACCTGAAGCATACCTCTCGACATGATAGACCCGAATTTCTGCGCAAAGCCAAGAAGCAGTTCTCTTTCAAAGACGCTAGATGGCTAGTCTCAAGACCCTACTGGTCAAGGATCTGGATTGTGCAGGAGTTTACACTACCTCAAGAACTTTACATTCTTTGTGGCAATGATGCAATATCTTGGCCAGCCCTGCAACAATTTCGGCCCTTCGGTATCTCGAACAAAACCAACCTTGGATTCAAACATCTATCGAAGCAAGAAAATCATCACAGTATCGACAAACATGCGAACAGTTGCCGAGAGCTTTCGAAATTGCGGCGATCTTGGCAAACAGATCCTAAACAGCCATCATACACCAATCGCGATCCAGATTTCGGTGCAAGACCTACACTTACACGACTTCTTGCCTTTTGTAAGGACTATCGATGTTCAGACCCGCGGGATAGGGTCTATGGACTATTGGGTCTTACCGACGTCGAAGGCGGAGACCGTCTGCTGGCCGATTATGGAATCAGCCCTTTCCAGCTGTTCCATCGTGTAATGTCGCACCTTCACCAGCAAGGAAGGGTTCTTTCTCAGATCTTTCGTACTAGGCTGGCCGAAGGTCTTCAGATTCTTGACCACGAGGATCTACCGACATCTGCGTTCATCTATGAGGTTGTCGGTGGTCGCAATGTAAAACGACTGCTGGTATCTGATGCAAATGTTTGCAAAGATCAATTTCTAAAGGATGTGGCAGAATATCTTGGTGAAGATCTACGGGGTGATGTTCAGTCCGAATTTTCCCAATTTGAGAAATTTCTTTCTCAATTTCAAAGCTTTCCTGTGGAAGAGGACCCTGCGACTTGGGACCTATTTGAGAGGGCAATGAGGAAAGCTTTCGAGTTCGATGAAGACGAGATCAAGATGTGAAATAATTGGACACATTTACTGACATGGTTCACATTGGCTACCAAACTTGAAGTGAACTTGCTGCCTGGTGAAAATCTCTCCGAGAACACAACACAGTTGACACATGTTTTCAAATTATTTAATGGCCAACCCATGCAAAACTTGGAAATGGAGACCTGCGCTACTTGTCCGGCAATGCGAGTGCTGTTCTTGGATTGTCTCCCAGCTACCCGGAACTTTATGCCAAGACCCGAGCACCGAATAGCGGAGTCAAAGTCCGCCAATCATGCGACCAGATTCGTCAATGTCAAAGCGTGGGCATCGTCCAAACCAGTAGCGCATGTACCGAGCCCCGAACTCTCTCCGCTGAATCTCAACCACATCCCCCATGGAGTTCTTTGCGCATACTCGCCGAACCGCAGTCCTTTCGAACTCGGCCTACAACATTGTATCCGCCCTTGTCTTACATGCATGGAGTCAACCAACACCATGCCCTCTGACAGCCGAGGGCAAACAGCTGGTGCCATGTACACTAGACTGAATAAGTCATGCGACCAGTGCCGAAATCGAAAGGTTCGATGCATTGGTAAGCAAGTCAACAGCTGAACCGCGTATGCTCATAACGCGTGGTCGACTCAGCTAACGACCCGCAGTACAGTCGCCTCCACCAGGAGCTTCTGTCGCGTGCAACAACTGCATTGTAAGCCCGTCTACGCTGTTGTCCTGCGTACAGAGGCCAGTCCTCCTAACACAAAGCCAGAAACGAAACGAAACTTGTCATTTTAGCATATTGCAGAGAAAGCTACGTTCGAAGATAGGTTAGTAACATCTCAATAGCAGTCTACAGTAGTCCCTCGGCCAACTTTGCTGCGCAGTGCCCTTGACTCCAAACACGTCGACCCCTGGATCTTCTCATAAACATGTTGAAACGCTCTCGGAATGCTTCATAGATAGGCTGTTGCAAGACCACTCAGCTGAAGCAATTCTCTACGATGAGTTTTCTGTGCTTAAGGTGGGTGACCCAGCTGACAGTTAGGCCATTCAGGCTGAATGACAATTCACAGATGCAGGACCGACGAGGTAACCACTCCCGAGACTCTGTTAGCTACTAAAATCTTACAATCACTCAGCTCCGAGCTCAGGGCTAGCCTACTTCTCTGATCAAAAAGTGGATCAACTCGTGCAAAGAATTGGCGATTCTCGGATCCGAGATCTAGTCAATGGCATAGATGCTGCCTTGCAATCTAGTATTCTCACCCGCACCGACGAGGTGCTCTCGCGACTCGGCTCTGAGCGCAGGTGCCCCCCGGTCCGGATTCCGGCGGATGAATCAAGACTTTACGTTCGTCGTAAGTTACCAGACAAAATAAGAGCCACCGGAAATCTGAAGATGTAATTGTGATTCTAATGCCGCATTCAAGAATACTTCGACACACTGCATCCAGTTTACCCATTCTTGAATCGAGACGAGTTTGAAGAAAAGGCATTCAGCCCCGAACTGGACAAAGTCTTGGAAGATGATCTACAGTATTCGGCCTTGTATCACGCTGTTTTAGCTCTGGGATGTCAGCATTTTGGCCAGGGCTCGTTCGATCCGGGAAAGGGTCGAGCTTGGGAACTCTTCCGGGTATGCCTCAGCCATACTGCCGATATCCTCAACTTTGGAGACTCCCTGCTTGGCCTTCAAGCACTGACTGCCATGTCGGTATTTTCTATGAACGCATGCTACCTTCAGGTTGAACACTCGATTCTTGCCGAGGCAACACGCATGGCCCTAGCCCTTCGCTACCACAAATCAGCTTTAGAAGGAGGTCAGGCGGTATGCCGGAGGACCTTTTGGGTGATATATCATCTCGAAAAGCAGTACAGCTTTCAAGCCAGACGCAGCTCCGGAATTGCCGATTACGATGTTGGGTGCCCAATTCCCAACGTTCCAGAGTCGACATTCGGGGTATACAACTGGTTTCTGTCGTCGATACGATTTGGCAGGGTTCTTTCCGTGGCATACGAGCAACTCTTTTCCGTCACAGCGTCCACCCGTGACACACCAGTCCTGTTATCCGCCATCTCTCGGCTCCGTGTTATGCTGGACAGTTGGAGACAATCTATTCCAGTCGACTTTGGGCCGAAAGAGCAGCTGAACAAGCAGCGGCTCACAGACCCACGCACCAAGCAAACTGCACTCTCGACGCAACTTTACTACTTTCATTTAGTAATTGCTCTAGAACGAATGTCTCTTCAACTAGACGAGGAAGGTGGCCAGAGACAACAAGAAAGCCGAAAGGACCTATTACAAGCCGCTAGGACTGTTATTGAGCTCACTCGCTACATCGATGTCGAGCCGTATACACCAGTATTGTGAGTCAAAGCTCATCCTTATCAGGAATTCAGTCTGCGACGACTAACCCTCAGATGCAGCACTCTAGCCATCATGCCCTTGTCGGCACTTTTCATCTTATTTGACTTCATCATCTACAACCCACAGCACCCCGATGTCCGCTCAAATCTCACTCTGTTGGATATCGCCGTTGGTCACTTCAGCCTTCTTGACCACGCTTCCGAAGGATCACTACCAGGAAGTCATCTGAGTGAGTTTTCGCACATTGCACGGCGGTATGTGCACGAGCTTCCAGCCCGTCCCGCCGATGGGATCGACGACTCATCACCATCCTCTCTGGGAAGGCGGGACAATACCATCGAGCAGGTCTGTCTCATATGTGTCATACGGAGGAAAGAACAGGGCATAGCTGACGTGAGTAGGAAATGCCGCAGGCAGCTGGCCAACCGGAACCAGGAAGTTTCAACGAAGCCAGCATGGACGATGATACGAATATGTATGAGAGCCCGGAGGTCTTGAACTACCCAACGCCAGATGTGTGTTTCTGGACGACAAATATGCAATCGATGAGCGAAGTGGACTTTAGGTTACTCTTTGCCACACCACCATTAAACCCTAGCCAGTTTCAGGAATGAGTTTAACACTTTTGATTAGATACCCGTCACATAACCAGAATTCTGCTAGCAGCACATGATGACAAGAATGTCCTCAAGATTACACGTTCTTCCATACGGGAAGTACGAGACAGGAGTCGCTGTCCCCGCCAACGTGAATGGTATGACGAGCTCGCCGGACCACAGTGCCAGTTGCGAAGCCCTCCTCAGAGCCCAAATTCATGCTGTACTTTGGGAAGCAGGCACCCGCCACAACAAGCCGAATTCTCGACCCTGCTGGAACCCTGTACGCGGTATCGGAGAGGTCCAAGTCGATCAATTTCCCTTCATTGCTGGCTTCGATCCGCCGATACCTTTCCGTGATGTTGTGGGACCGACCTTGGCCATCAACAATGCTGAGTCGAACGAACAAGTCGCAGAATGGATTGTCACTCGAGTGCACGAGGTCGACGGACGGACGGCCGAAAATATCGAGGGACTCAGCCAGCGGCTCGGATGTGAAGGTCACGACGTCGTCTCTGGCGCACAATTCCGTATCGTCCACGCTACCTCCTCCAAATAGGAGGGCCCCGCCAACAGTCGGTGTCGGGTTAGAGGGGTCGAAGGTGAAGCTGGAGGTGTCACCATTCGCCGAGTGCAGGCCATCAAGCTTGCCCTCAGGAGCCAGGAACAGCTCCTTGTGGCTCGTGGCTGGAGGCCACTTTGAGAATTCAAGCCATTCGGGAGCCTCTCCTCCCCTATAGATCTTCACTGCCGGGACACTTTGGGCAGTCTTTTTCCGAGCGAGATGGGCCTCCAACCATCGATGGGTATCTCTCGTGGTTTCTGAGCCCTGTGCTTCCATGTGACCGCCGGGACCAATTCTCAAAGAAACGGGACACCCTCGTTGAGTCAGAGCTTGGTACTGCTCCATCGTCTGCTCGAAGAAGATATCATACCACCCAGTGGCCAGATAGATGGGTATGTTGGCCTTCTCCAAGCCTCTGCCATGCCTCTGGCCTGCCCAGACCTGGTGATCCAGGTCTGGCTGCTTGATCTGCTCAAAGAGCCACGGCGCCTTTTCGCCAAAGTGACGCTTCAACGCCGGCTCCAACGGAATGTTATTCAACAGCGGGTCGAGACGGTTGGGGTTTCTGAAAGCCTGCATTGTACCCCAGATCCCGCGAGTCTCCTGATTCGCAACGCTGTCGCTCCATTGCACATGCTGTTGCAGCGTGAAAGCGCCCGTTCCCCACATGCGTTCGGCGAAGTCGTGAGGCGCAACCGTCATGATTGCGGCGACCATATCTGGCGGCGGGTCCGTCAGGAGAGCCCATTGAGTGAAGCCGAGATACGATCCGCCAAGCGTGGCGAACGTCCCGGTGTACCACGGCTGCTCCCTCATCCATGCTACAACATCCTGCCCATCTTGAGCTTCAGAGGATCCGCCGTCAAATGCCCCGGTGGAGCCGTAAGTCCCGCGGGAGCTCACGAAGAGAACTTGATATCCGCGGGAGGCCCAGATGCGGGCCATGAGCATGCCGAAGAAGATGCCGCGGCCGTAGGGGCCTCTTACCAAGACGGTGCCGGCGGGGTCCTGGCCATCGGGGCGGTAGAGGTCTGCAGCGAGGACTATGCCATTTGAGATGGGGATCTTGACACTTTCGAAGGTGTAGCCGCACGTTTCGGAGGGAAGGCCGAGTGACCACCCAACGGCACGGTCGAATACAGTGGCCCACAACGGACGCGGAGCCGGAGCTTGGGTGGCCATTGCTTCTCGGCGTGGTGTTGAATGTTATTTAATGAGAATGCGCTCATACAATGAGAGCGTTATCACGTCCTTGATTGACCGGCGGATGAATAGAGGGTGGAATACGAGCAGCTCGCGGGATCTCGGAAGACGGCAAGTTCCCGCGCCCCCGCTTCCGGTCGCTCACGCCACCACGACCTAGTCCGGAACAATCTCAGGCCGGCTCCATCTCGCTACCCGGACGCCTGTCTCAGTCTATCGAAGAATGTTTCTTTTTCAGCTCAGTCCATGAGATCAACCCAAGTCCCTGGCGCGTTGGGGTGAAACGGACAGCCATTGAGCTTCGCAAGACGGAGGGGGAACTCTTGGGCGACTATGTTCGTATGGTGCGCCTCGCTTTCGGTTCTCACAAACTCTGACCCGAACTCAATTTAAAGTCGCATGAAAGGTATCAATAGGCTAATTCGATACGTCCTCGCCGCTAGACAACTCCTATGATCCTTCCGGAGGTTCTCACCGTCCTCCGTGACAATGTCCGGGGCTGTGGGGCCGTTGTCATCCGTCTTGCCGGCGGGAGCTCCGGCATACTCCCGCTTACGTAAAATGACAGACGTCACAGGCTGATACTGCATGCGGGGTTGAGAGGTTCGTGTGTTGACCAGCACACTCCTTGCAATAGACATCTCCCAGTGCATCGGTTCAGAAACGCCGTGAGAATGTCTAAGCCGGGCCAATTCCGCGCAGAGTAAGTACTGCAGCCCAAACTCATGTTTTGCTCGTGAGTCCATTCTAACATCATGCAGTCTTCCTGAGCTTGCGCGCCTTCTGCTCAAAGATGGACCACAAAGAACAAGACCGACTGCCCGCCGTGTTCGGGTCATACTGAATCAAACGTTCATCGTCGATACGACGAAGGCTATGCATGTCTGGGAGCACATTGCCTACCCGCAGTACTACGTGCCTACCACAGCCCTGAAGAACTGCAAAATCAAAGACAAGAAAACAATCAACGCGACCGACGACGCTTCATCGCCTGCTGCTGCTGTGGTAGAACTCACCATTCCTGCTCACGATGGCGTTGGCGAGTTCACCACAGATCGCGCGTTGCGGTTCTCCGACGACGAAAAGTTGAGCGGAGCATTGAAGGGTATGATCCGACTTGAATTCGGAAGCATGGGTAAGAGACCTCACATTGCGTACATGCCTTAGTTCGTAGCTGATGTGTGTCTAGACCAATGGCTCGAGGAAGAGGTCCCCATCTACGTCCACCCGAAAGACCCCTTCAAGCGCATTGATATCCTTCCGTCTAAGAGATCAGTTGAAGTGCAAGTTGCCGGTAAGACGGTGGCCAAGTCAGATTACGCGGTCCACTTGTTAGAGACGTACTTGCCGACGAGGTATTACTTGCCGCTTGCTTCAGTCGACCAGCTCGTTCTCCGGAAAAGTGACCTTATAACCAGTTGTCCCTACAAAGGGGATGCGGAGTATTACCATGTCGTCATTGATGGTGAGGAGCACAAGAACCTGGTCTGGTATTACAGGACAACCACACATGAGAGCGCAGGAATAGCCGGGCTTTTGTCCTTCTACAACGAGAAGGTGGATATCATTCTTGATGGGGAGTTGCTCGAGAGACCCGAGACGTTCTTCTCATAGACACAAATTGCTTTTTGTGTTGGTTTAGTGACTGGCAAAGTATATTAAGCGATTACTCAAAGTACAGTCAAAACTCAGGACGTGGACATATTTTCGATTCACACGTTGGCGCATTCACCAGGCTTCATTAACTGCTTCCAAACTATCTTACACGGGCCTGTAGGCAAACTACTCCTCTCATTATCAAGCAGCACTTTCCAGTTCTGCGATTCATAGCAATCAGTTTTTTCTCAATACCATGAGCTCAGACCCGACCTCTTTCAGGCCGTTGCTATTGCTCCTTTACAGCATCAAATTCTGTTTGTCGAGTCCAGATTGCTTCAGCGTGATCATCCGCCGTGTTTACTTGTTGGTAATCAAGCTACCAAATGAGCCACAATTCCCCAGGCCATGGACTGGGCCCATGAGTTACACTTTCTCATTTCCGGCGGCAGTCCAGACCATCGTGGTATAGAGGCGTATCATGAGATGTCCAAGAGGCTATAAGCCTTCGTTTCAGCAACGCGTCGACGTTCATTGCCGACAGATGCTTGGCAGCACATGTAGTCTGCCGCAATATTCACCTTAAGCCTAGCGCTGGTGGACCGCCTCTGCGAACGTTGCGGAGCGGAACAAGTGACCGAAAGGCCGGCCGCCCAGAACATCTTTCCGTATCGGCGCAGACTCGAAGCCACAATTGCCGCATATCGCAAGCACTTGCTAGTCATTCACAGTCAAGGGCTGTTTTGCTTTTTCCGAGACCGATTGGTCGGTTATATGCTGCATCTTGGTGGATGTTCGCCGAGATATTGTTTGTGATCCCCACACAAATCGAAGGGCCTCAGAAGTATCCTTGCATGTGGCCATACTGGGCGGCCGCCGCGTTGACATCGTAACCTGGCGGCATAAAATCCTCCATAAAAGCGGGCGCAGCCATGCTGTATATGCTGGGAGGATATACCTGCATGGTCTGGGAACAGTCAATGACTTCCTGCTGGGGGTGGTGCTCCGGGGGCGAAGCGTGGTGCTGGTCGATGAGCATGCGTTCGTCGCGCTGGTCCCGCTCCTTCAGCTGTACCAACGAAGCTTGCTGCGGCATCGGAGGCGACGTGGCCGCTTGCACCGCCGGTGTCAGGGACTGGGAGATGGAGTGGAACGCCGGTATATCGGCAGTCAGCTCGGGAAATCGAGTGAAGAAGTCCATACCCATCGTCCACGAGTTGATGTCGGAGATCCGCTCCTCGAATGCCGGCGATATTTGGTACTGGCCCGTGACCAAACTCTTTTTGTACGCGTCGCGGAATTCGTAAGGCCAGAGGAGGTGGAAATTGGGTCCAAATAGATCCCAGAAGGAGTTGTTGCAGTAGTGGTGCTGTCCGAAGACGAAACGTTCTCGAACACCGGGCCTGAAAGCTTGTCAGCTTGATTGGTTGCAACATAATACACCCCAGCCGCCGGCTTACCAAACAAAGAAGTCAATCGCATAGGAATGTGGCATGGTCTGTGATGGTCTGCATCATGTTAACACTGTCTCTCAAACTGCCGGCTTCAGTGCCGGGCCGTTGATGCACCAACCTCTTCAGGTACCAAGTCGGCAGCTTGGCGTAACGACTCGGCGTGGGGTCAGAGTGATACTGGAGTAACAGGTGCATGGTGCGGAGGATCGCCAACCGCTCAGTCTTGGGACACGTCTGGAAACACAGCTCGTCGACCCGGCGAAGCTTCTTCCACAGCTTCGACAGCGGGCGGGACCGCGCCACGGCATCCCACCCCTCCAATAACACCCGTACGGGAATATCCTCGTCATTGGCATCCTCGGCGACGTGCGCCTCCTTCGATATCCTGCACCGCTTCGCCAGCACCTGGTTGACGGCTCTCCACACATTCACCTTGGGCGGAGCGGGGCCTGCGGGGGTGCGGACGGTGATGCAGTCGCAGGGCATCTCTGGCGGGGGCACGATCAGGTTGGGGTCGTCGTGGTCCTCGTGGCACTCGTCGTCGTCGTCGAGCTCCTCCCCGAGATCCTGGCTCTCCGACGTGGAGCTTGGCGCGTGAACACTGGGCGCGTGCACGCTGGGCGCCGAGATCCCATTCGGCACCGTGCCGACGGCCATGACCCCTCCGTGGTTGCTGTTGCTGTGGTCGTGGTTATGTTGGTGTTGGCTGAACGCGTGAACATCGCCATGAGCTGCTGACGGCGTCTCCGGGATCATGCCCATTGGCGCACTATACGCGGTGGGCGCGGGCAGCCCAGGCATCATCGCCGAGGAGGAAGACGCATCCCGGGAGTCGGACAGGGATGTTGACGTCGAGAACGAGGAGTGCTGGTGCTGGTGCTGGCCGCCAGCCGCGGACGGGCGGTGCGGCGACGACGATGACGACGACACATCGCGGATCGTCTCCTGGATGGCCTTGAGGGTCTCGGAGAGGCGGTCCCGTTCTGCTGTGACGCTGGCCAGCTGCTCCATGCAGGCCGACAGCCTCGTCGAGTCGTCCTTGCGGAGCTCCTTCACCAGCGCCTCGAGCTCGGCGATGCGATTACGGGTGCGCTCGCGGGCCTGCCTCTGGGCCCTGCGGTCGAGCTCGCGTTTCCGGAGCTTGCGGGCGATCTCCTTCTCGGAGGGGACCTTGGCCGGGGCGGCTGATCCCCCTCCTGCTCCTTCTGCTCCTCCACCAGGTGTTGCTGCTGAAGTGGGGGCATCGCTTGGCCCGTTGGACGCCATGGTTGGGAGAGAAGAGCGCGCAGACGCGCGGTGCTGATAAAGAGCAAATTTGGATGTTGGTTGGGGAGTTATTCTGACAGAGATGGGAGACGGGGAGGAGAGTCAGATTGGATGGGGACAGAGGATGTGCGGTGTGTGTGTTTGGCTCTGTCTGAGGCGCTTAGGGTCCGGCTTAATTCGTATGTTCGGATGCGGATGATGGAGCGATATGTCAGCTTATGACACAAAAGGAGAGAGAATAGATTGTATGAAAACCGGGCACCCGATAGTGTGGAAGAGAGTTGACGGCAGATGTGCAGAAGTGGATCGAGCGGGCATCAATAACAATCAGGGGAAAAGGGGATCGGGAGTTGAAAAAGACAGACGGAGGAAGCTTCTTTCTCTTCTGACGGGCGGGCAAATTAGCATCACGGAACAGCTGAAGAGAGGGACCCCTGGCTTAGGTTGGTGTCTTTGCCTGGCTTGAGCTTGACAAGGGGATGGGTGGATGGAGGGCGGAAGAGCATTACCCAGGTGGTGGGAGGGGCGGAACAGAGGTTGAAGAGAGACAGAGAGATCAAAGAATGTGGGGTAAAATGCTGGTACCCTTGCCTTGGACACTTTGACACTGCTGCTCTGTGTGTCTGTCCAGGTGCTATGCAGTAGAGGACTAGCTAAAACGGGATTCCTACGTGACATTGGGCGCAATCCTGGGAGGCGGTGGCTTCTGCGTGGCTCTGATAGAGTTTCGACGCCGTCGAGCCGGCGCGGATTTGGCCCCGGTACGCTGGCGAATCAGCGCTGCAGATGGCGAGTCCGGCACGCTCTTGAGGTGCATCTGTCTTGGAACTGTCTTAGTTGCCGCACATCGTTTGTTTCCATCCCAATTTCTATGGGGGTAATTAGCCCTCCATGCATTCCGCGGAGGCCGGGTCCGGACGTTGACAATGCCTGACTGGAAGCTTACTGCCAGTACTAAAAGCGTCGTCTCCCCTGCATGTCACTCAGCTGGCGTGGCCACACCAGCCCTAGCGATCGTTCCTGAGTAGCGCTTCAGCTCTTTGAGATGCGCTCTTGTCATCATCTCACACACAGATTCAACACACTTGGACATCTGCAACTCCACCATTGGTCTCAATGCAGGGCGGCTTTGCTCGCTACTATACAACAAACTTTTGTACCTTGCGTCGGTTCAAATTGTGACATGTCATCGAACATCTCGCCCACTTATTAAACACGGCACAGGGCCACTCATCAGAGACATTCCAACACTAATAGCAGCTTTCCCAGTCAACCCCGTCCGTCCTCCAACAACCGCCGATCTGCACGCAGCTTATGCGGTTTGTTTACCGGCCTCCCTCCGATTGAAAATCACTTCCAACTCCGGCAGCGACAACGTGAACCCGTCCTTCTTGCCCTCAATGAAGGCCTCTGCCGTCTGGCCCGGCGCGAATGCCACGTCATACCGGTGAATGATCTGGCTCGCGCAGTATCGAACCTCCATCAGCCCGAGCTGTTTGCCGACGCACGAATACTTGCCTGGAACCCGCATATCAGCTCTCATGGTTTCTTGTAATTCCGATTGCAGCGACCACAAAAAATGAAGTGAGATTAGAGTGCTTACCGGTGCCAAAGGGGACGAATGCTGCAGGATCCTTGGCCAGTTCTGGCTGTGTAATCCATCGCTCTGGGATGAATTCGCTGGCGTGCGGAAAGATACGTTCATCTGTCACATTTAGGTTCCGTCAGCACTACGGAACTTCCGAAATACGTACCCGGACGTTACACGACCGCCCGAGGGGGAAAAAGAAAAAAAAAAAAAAAAAAAAAAAAAAAGTTTCACTCACCTCGAAACATTGTATACGTCGGCACTTGAATGATGGTATTGCCCGGGATAAACGTCCCGTCAATATCGAGGCCCTCGGGTGGCGTCATCCTTTGCACGCCGGACGGCACGGGCGGGTGCAGCCTCAGCGCCTCGTCGATGCATGCCTGCAGGTACGGCAACTTCGAGAGTGCGGAGTGCTCGGGTTCGGGATGTTCAGCAAAGTACTCGTCAATCTCATCCCTTAGGCGCTTGTAGACGTCTGGCTTCTGGGCTAATTCGAAAAAGAGGCAAGTAAGGGATGCGGCTGTTGTATCGCTGTGACGGGGGGAAAGGGAAAAAGAAATGTTAGCGGGGTCCGTTGCGGGGGCTGCTATCCCGTATTCGATAGGGGAACTTTACCTTCCAGCAACGATGATCAGATATGCGTCTCCATATAGATTTAAAGTGTCTTGCCAAGTGGGTTTCTTAATGGCCTGGTAGTCTTCTAGGACCCACGAGAAAACATCCGGGCGGTCGGGAGGATTCTGTGAGACATCGTTAGCTTTTGAGTTGCTGAGCCCCTGTCCAGCTGAGACGGCAACCGCATTCATACCGCAATTCTCTCATCCACCTGAGAAGTGACAAACTTCCAGAACCTCTTGTTGTTTGCATTTAAGATCGGAGTGTTCTTGAAGATAGGGAACAACCACAGCATATGGCTGAACGACCCAATAGCCTGCATGTCCGTATGCAGGGAAGTCATGAAGTAGTGCTTAATGCCCTCCTTCAACATCCCAAAAGTCTTGCCAAATGCCAAGTCGCCCATTACGTCGAAGCTGTAAAAGTTGAACCAGTCGGCAATGTTGAACGGCTTGCCCTTGTGGGCCTCGATCTGATCAAGAAGCTGATTGGTGTAGTTGGCAACTCGGAACTCGTAGTCTCGTAGGGCTAGCTTCCATGTCAATATACGGGACTGGGTAGGATCGGCAAGGGATAGATACCTTTCGAGCTGAACCCACGATCCCAGGCCTTGCGCCGAACAGAATGCTCTTGCTTATCGCGAACAAGCTGCAGGGAGTACATGGGATGCAGAACTCCGTACCACGGACCCTTGGTGCATGGTGATCTGTTGGAATGAATTGGCATGATAGCCTTGGGGTTGTTGATAGACAACTCAGTCGGGCCTGCAACCGAGTCATGTTAGTTGCACAACTCATCGTACGATTTCAGCCCTTTCCGGTCTTTCTTGCTTACCAATTCGTACGATGTCACCGTACGTGTTGTGAAGATCTTGCACCTCCGAGTACAAGTGCAACTTCTTGAGCGCGCGTCTCGTGATGTACAGGTTCGACATGCGGGCCATCCACGGCCCGTTGAAGGAATTGAGCCGGTGAAAGCCCGCGCGGTACACGAACAAACTGGAGTAAATACCTCCGATAAGGGCGGCTGTGAGGGAGCATGCTGTTCTGAATGCGGCCGCATTCGTAGGGAAAGTCTCAGAGGCCAGCTGGACAAGGGCCGCGGTGAGCAGTCCGATGCCCAGAGAGAAATTCCGGATCAGTGTCGTGGTCGAGATATCCCATTCTCCGATTCGGAAGACGAAAACATGAAGTTGAATTCCCACGACAAAGGAAAGGCAGTGGGCCTGGAAGAGTTGAAGGTCCGTCATCGCCATGGTGTCTGTGAGGCAGCGCGATTCAGGTTTGAACTTTTTTGGGTCACGAAAGAGAGCCCAGAAGAGAAGTCTGAGCCTTTTTGGACAACTTCATGTCTTCCCCGCTCCGCCGAGGCTCGTAGATATGTTGTTTGCGCATATGTTTGCTGTTGGACCTCCCCTATTAGGCGGGTTGCATAATCGCAGCCTGCGTCAGAAACCGTATCGCGATCGTCCAGCAGACCAACCAACGCAGCGTCAGATAGGAACAATAGAGACGTGTCAGAACAATAGCTCCTTCAATCGAGCAGATCGCATACTGTTACTTCGAGTCAGAAAATCTGCCACTCTAATGGGACAGCCGCAGCCGCGTAGTCCAAACAGGTCGCGGAGCAGTACTCACCTATCCCCTGTAGGCGCGTTATTGCTCTCAGCCACCAACTGGGATTGTATTTGAGAACCGTTGAAACTCGTGTGATTCCATTGGATATCGAAGGAGAGACTCTCGTAGGCATACGTCACGAAATTATCGACTCAGAAGCTCCAACGGTTCTGACTCGACCACATCTGGGGTAAGTCGTGGGGTCTCCCCTCACACTCGCGGGGTGCAGAGCTCAGTGCGGAGTGTGGAGAAGAACAGAGTCAGAACGCCCCCATCGTCTGCCTCAAGGCCACACTTTTCCACAATCCCCCATGTTTTCCACGATCTAAGAATCCGGGGAAGATCTCGCACCCCGAGCAGCTTACCCCGTACTTGGCCCCGGTGTCTCTACCCCGCATGGGGCTAATCAACGGTTGTTGGAGATCCCGGGGGGCCGCCGCGTGACACTCGTGTGGGATGCCGAGACCTCGACCCGGGTGCCAACAAACACAGCAGCCAACGGGTGAGTCGGACTCGGAAGACTAGCTTTCTCGCCGGCGGAGCCACAATACCACGCGAGCTCGAGACATCCTTGTGCCGAATAGTCGGATCTTCAACAAGGGCCGATGGCACCGTCGCCGTTGTTAAGCATTAGCCCGTTTGCCCCCATGCTTTGATCCGAAATCTTGGGATGAAAAGACAAGAATAGACGAGAACCAAGGATGCAATACAATGGATTGTCACAATCGTCGATCATTGTTCTCGGTCATAATATGTTCTGATTCATCAAGTAGATACCAGTTCCAACGACAACTATGTACATGCAGTTACTTCAGGTCTATGACTACGCGACCTTGTATTTCCCCGGACTCCATCTCAGTAAATATCTAGACGTCGTAATTGTCAGTGTATCTCCCATGATTGTATACTCGGTGTTGCCGAGCTCGGATTCGGGTGCCGTACCTTTGTCAAGCTCCTCATGCGCCGAAGTTGAAAGTGAGTTTTGACCTTGCCCCGTGCAGCGATTTCGAGACATTCCTTGGCTTCGAGACGGTTACCCGTTTTGACGCCTATGATAGCCGCTTGTCAGCACGTTCCCCAACACACAGGTGCATATGCAGGACACTTGAGCACACTTACCAAAGATGGTCAGCTCATCGCAAAGCATGGGCTCGACCTCGCCGATGGCCGGACTGCTGTGTTCGGGAACGCCCAAGCAGACAAGTTTGCCGCGGAAGCCCAACCATCGCGGTGACTGGATGTACGCTTTTTTGTTTGACGAGCACATCAACACGATCCTTGCGCCGCCGCCGGTGATCCTCTTGATCTCGTTCGCGAGGTCTTCTTCGGTGGGGAAGGATGTGAAGTCGACGAACTCCTGGGCTCCGAGGTCGCGGCAGAACTTTTCCTTGATGCCGAGGTCCATTGCCAAGACCCGGCAGCCGAGAACGTTTGCGTATTGGATTGCGAGATGGCCGAGGCCGCCGCCGGCACCGGCAATCACGATCCAGTCTCCGTGGCGGGCGTCGGCGCGCTTCAATGCGGTGTAGACACTGACGCCCGCACACATCAATGGAGCCGCTTCGGCTGAGTCCAATCCATCTGGTACGGGTGTTACGTATCTTGCCGATGATAGACAGTATTGTTGAAGTGTTCCCGGTGTGAAGTAGCCCGATAGTTTAACCTCTGCGCATGATGACTCGCCACCTTGAAGGCATCGGTCTGGGATAATGACATGATTAGCATGGTGTAGGTGTACCAATGGCTGGTGAACGACTTACCGCAGTTGAGACACGCATCTGCGGCATACTTGATGCCTACTCGTTGTCCAATGGTAGGTGTTGTTACGCCAACACCAACAGCGACAACCTCTCCTACTCCTAGAATATCCAAGTTAATACCACGTCAATATAGAGCTGACTCTCGTATGCTTCCTTTGCGGAGTCAGAACACGAGCCGAGATGACGACTGACCTTCATGACCTCCCACCTGACCTGTGGTACTTGTTAGATCCCTGATATGCCGGGCGCAATCTCGAATCGGATGCGACTTACCTTTTGGTGTAGGGAACGGCACTGATGAGAAAGCATTCATGCAAAAGCCATAGTCTGTATGGCATACTCCTGAATATTGCCTACGATAGCAACACGATCAGCAATCAACCATCACAGATTGAAATTTGTAGAGCCATACAGTCGAACGAGGACTTCGCCGGGCCCAGGTGTCGGTATCGGGAGTTCGACAACCTCCGTCTTGGTCGTTCCGGGTTCGGTGTACACAACAGCACGGTTGAAATTGCTTTCGCCGCCCATGGTAGTCGCCATCAAAAAGCTATATCGATAAATCTGCACGTGTTCAAGTTCACAGTAAAGATCGCGAGGGATGCATGTCGTTATATTTCTCTTTTCGAGAGGAAGGGGAAAAGATCGGGCTCAGCATCCAACTTATCGGCCTGCTGTCTGGAACCTCCACACAAGCTCACACATGTACATGAAGTCTACTTTTGGCCGAAAAAAAACGCTCCTCAATTCCCGTCCCCCTCACCCTTTCGCCCCATCGGCGACTTGTGCCTAGTTTCCAATCACGGATGGCGCAGCCAATGCGACGGCGCCAGACGAAGTGCCGATGCACTGGCACGAGGCGATTTCTGGGCTGCCGGCGCCGAGACGGCGGGTCGAACTTGACTCGAACTGAGTCTGTATGCATGACCAACCTTGCAGGATATCATCTAAAACGAGCCGGCTGATGCTGCACGGCTCAGAGGGTGGTCGAGTCAGACGGGAAGGAGAATCGGGAAACATGTTCGATGATGGGATTTGAGTGTGTGGGTGAGAGCAAACTGACGAGTGAGAGTGAGCGGGAATGAAGAGTGAGTGTGAGAGTGTGTGTGTGCGTCTGTGAGGGGTGCGGCACGTTGCCGAGCTGTCTCCAACTTTTCCCCCACGGCATCCCGCAGCCCGCAGCAAGTGTCTGTGTTGTGTCAAGTTTATCTTCATACAGTTCATACAGCAGCAGCAGCACAGTCTAAGTACCTTTTTGCCATGGAGCGCGGTGTTTCGGTAGTTGTTTTTCTCTTGTCCTGTTCGCTACCGACCTGGTAGGTAACCTGTTAGGTGACTAAGAATTCGTCATGTACTGCTAGTGCCGCTTGTCATCAGCCCGCATGTATCTCTGCTCCCCTCTTCTCTGGACAATGCAAGTACCTGTTTTTCTTCAGCAAAATGGCATTATGGGGCCCAACACGTTTCAACGGCCTCTCCCCGTCTCACCTTGGCAGTGTTGGTGCGGATGGCCGACATGCGAAAGCAACCAAGCAGCATCCAAACAGCCATGTAACCCGGGGTCCTCTCATCGGTGAGCTACCCCAAATGGACAATTTAGTCGCTGCAGGCCCCGCTTGCCGCGGGCCAGACTCCATTTCCACGCAATAGTCTATGTCAATCGCTGGCAGACATCGTGACATTGACGGTGGAGTGTCGGGCGAGGGGGGCCCCTCGGTCGAGGACATGGCATCCCGGTCTTGTGCCCTAGCTTCTCTCCACGTCCCCCCTCCACTGGTTCGTTGTCCCTCACAATCACCAGCACAAACCACCCATCCCACCACCAGAGGCGAGGCGGAGGGGCGAGAAAGGAGTCGGAGAGCTCAACGCAACGCAGGGTCGCTCTCGCATACACTACCCGTCCCATCCCTCTTCTTGTTTCTCGCTCCTCTCTCTCCTCGTGTACTTTTCTTCCTCCTCGCGCGCCCGATCACAGACCCTGATTCACGCCGTTTAAACTCTTCTCCCACATTACGTACCTGCACGTAACTTGCCGCCATCCTTACCTACCAACCAACGGTTTTACACTAGATAATCGCCCATCATGGCTGCTAACGGCACCTCGAAGCTGGACTTCACCAAGTTCTACAATGTCATCGACGGCAAGCTGGAGACGACACCCAAGACAAGACATGGCTTGAACCCCTCCACACTCGAGCCCCTCGCCGAGGTGCCCCTCTCGACCGCTGAGGATGTCGACAGAGCTGTCCAGGCCGCGAGGGCCGCCCAGGAGGCTTGGGCCGAGACGCCTTACGAGGAGCGCAAGAAGGCCGTCGCCAAGCTCGGTGACCTGATGGAGGAGAACCTCAACGAGTTCGCCGTCATGCTGAGCAAGGAGCAGGGCAAGCCTGTAAGTACGATTGCTAGGAGAACTAGCACATGGACCCTGCGCAAGCTCGCGAGCGAGTAATGCTGACGTACCGTGCGCTGCGCAGATTGGCTTCGCCCAATTCGAGATCTCTGAGGCCATCAAGCACTTCAGAGGTGTTCCTACGCTTCCCTTCCCCGAGGAGGTCGTCAGCGATGACCCCGACCGTCGCGTCATCACCAGATACGTGCCTCTCGGCGTGGCTGTCGGCATTGTCCCATGGAACTGTGAGTCTACCCAGGACTTCCAAGATAGCTTTCGCAGACAGAACTAACCTCATTGCGCAGTCCCCATCCTCCTCGGTACGCTCCCAACGATTGCACTCATGACCCCTAGCACCTCACTGACGCAATCTCACAGCTGTCGGCAAGATCTGCCCTGCCCTGATCACCGGAAACGCCTTCATCCTCAAGCCCTCGTAAGTCCCCATCCCTCCCCGCGCGCCGGCCCGTCATCCCATGTTTCAAGAGCGCTGACGCGAGTCAAGTCCCTTCACCCCCTACTGCGACCTCAAGATCGTCGAGCTCGCCCAGCAGGTCTTCCCGCCCGGCGTCTTCCAGGCGCTCAGCGGCGACGACAACCTCGGCCCCTGGCTCACCTCCCACCCCGGCGTCGACAAGGTCAGCTTCACCGGCTCGACCGCCACGGGCAAGCGCGTCATGGAGAGCTGCGCAAAGACGCTCAAGCGCGTCACTCTGGAGCTGTGAGTGGAGCAATTCCCGCAACGGCAGCTAAATTGCAGCCCGCAACCTTGTTGCCGGGCAGGCAAAAAAAATCCCGAATACTGACTCGTGAGCGCACAGCGGCGGCAACGACGCGGCTATCGTCCTCCCTGACGTCGACATCAAGGCGGTCGCGCCTAAGATCGTCACCCTGGCTCTGTACAACTCTGGACAGGTATGTTGGAAGACTTGGCGTCTGACAGGATCCGATCGGCCCCTGCAGAAGGTCTGTTTGGGTAGCCGCTAACGTGATCACTGCCAGGTCTGCATCGCTATCAAGCGCATCTACATCCACGAGTCCATCTACGATGAGCTCCTCACCGAGATGGCCAACGTCGTGAACAGCTTCCCCGTCGGAGACGGCCAGCAGGAGGGCACCATGCTCGGCCCCGTCCAGAACCAGATGCAGTTCGAGCGCGTCAAGGACCTCCTCAAGGACATCGAGGAGCAGAAGCACAAGCTTGCCGCTGGCTCTACTGCCCCTGCCTCCAACGGCAAGGGCTACTTCATCACCCCTACCATGGTCGACAACCCTCCCGACAACTCTCGCATTGTCGTTGAGGAGCCCTTCGGTAAGTTTGCCATCTTGCGCTCATCTCGCCGAACGAAACGAGTTGTCCAGCGACTAATGCAAGACCAACGCAGGCCCCGTCTTCCCCGTCCTCAAGTGGAGCGACGAGAAGGAGGTCATCCAGCGCGCCAACAACACCGACATGGGTCTCGGCGCCTCTGTCTGGTCCAAGGACCTCGAGAAGGCGCAGGCCATCGCCAAGAAGCTCAAGGCCGGCAACGTCTGGATCAACACGCACTTGGAGCTGCAGTACGACGCGCCCTTCGGCGGCCACAAGCAGAGCGGTATCGGATACGAGTACGGCGCCGGCGGCCTGAAGGCGTACTGCAACGCCCAGTCCATGTTCATCACCAAGGCATGATTATGATACCAGAGCCCCTGCAAAGTCTTACGAGCTCATAATGTAACGAATTAAAAAAAGATCAAAACATCCAAGCTGTAGAGGAAAAGGTCGGTGTGGGTTATCTGTCGGTCAGCAGAGCGTGGCAATCTTGCTGGGCTTTTTGGCCCGGTACCTGTTTCGCACTAGTAGATCAGTACAAGAGTAGTGTAGATAAACCAAGAAACCCTTGATTCTTCAGACCCGACTGGCCCGTTCGCATTGAAGGAATGGCTGCATTGAAGCTCTTCGGCGTTACTGTCTCAAAGGATTGCATTGCCCCGATATTTCGCATGATGGGGTACGGCCTTTTGGGGGCGAGGCCTGACAATCCGGAGAGCAGTATCGGGGAGTTTATGGAGCAATTATGGAGCCCCTGCCGAATAAGCGCTGGTTGCTGCCTGGCTAGTGAGCCCATTCTGCAAGACCCTGGAGCAGGCAATTCGCGGTGTGTTTACTGTATCCGTAATCAGCAACAAGTGCGCGTTGATGGAGGGGGAGAAGGGTCCATCCGGAATGCGCAAGCCTGCTGCCCGGGGTGCGGGAAATAGTTCCGCTTTCACATGGGTGCAGCGGGGTAGTGCGGTGACAGGTGAAAGCGGCCCCCTCTCACATGGGGATACGAGGGGAATTGTTTCGTACGGGGATGTTTGGGGCGAACTAGCACGGAGAATTGGTCGCATTGAAACGGGGTCCGTTGGGAATTTGATTCTCTCCGCAGGGGGGCGGGAGAAAAGGAGTTGAATCCCCGCTGGGGTTGATGGCAATTCAAATATCATGCATCTCCAATCAGGTTCCGCATCCTTTATCACCTGATGGGGATTGAGTTACTCAACATGAGTATCATCATCTCTCAAGCGCATGTCCAGCACGTCCACACTTAAAAAGGGTCAGGAATACAGATGACGCCGAGTCCATTATTAGAAGCACCTAACACCATGGACAAGAATAAGCGAGTAAGATCAAGTCCTCGGTGGAGGACGGTGAGAAGAGGACCAATGTGCGTCTTTGCTCAAGCTTCAGCCGTCGTGTTTATATTTCTCCACCTGCTTCACTCATTTGACGCAGACTTTGAGAGAAACGTAGCACCGTAGCACGCCAAGTCAAGGGTTTGATATTCTCATGCAGCTGGCAAAATCGTATTTCCTCAACTGAAGACTGCACCAAGACAACGCTAGAAGGCCAACACAGCTGGTAAAGTCGGTTTGATTCTTGTCAGTGTCAGCTGTTAGGTACGAGCGGCACTTCACTCGAGCATGCTCACAGACAAGCAATGCAGTGGGAAAGTCAAACATCAGGATATTCGAAGAGGCTTGATGACCCAAGGTACTTTCTACCCGTTTGCTTTATCGCCTATGTGGGCCCTACCACGACCACCGCATATGAAAGCAGAAAAGGATGCAACTGAATTCTAGGGCTACCAAACTTCGGCAAAGGTCATGCAAGTCGAAG